CCTAAAAATTCTTAAACAAAGGGATTTTACATCTGCGAAAGGCAGAAAAATCAAGACCTGCATTCGTTATGATGTTCCTTCTTAAATCTTTTTTCTTTTCTTAATGGCTTTAGTGTGTTTCTTGTTCATGTCAGGTCTGCTATGGATGCTGATAGCTCTCCACACACAGAAGGGAGGGCTAGAGAAGCAGGAGCTGGAAATGTAATGCCTCCACCTAGAAGTCACACATTAACACTTGTACAGGCATTTTCATGGCCCACACAAGTCATGTGACTCTACCTGACCTCAAACAGTACAGGGAGTATAATCCTCTGTATGCCTGAAAGCAGAGAGCACCAGAAACTGGATATTGTGCAACCGTAGTAATGCCTTCCACAAACCTAAACAATCAATTCGTTTTCTTCCTAGGGATAACAAATATACTTATTTACTGGGGACATGCTTCCTTTTCATCATCTTTTAATCTCAATCTCCCTTGACATGGCTCAGGCTTCAGATCTTTGCAGGTATATATGTCTAAGTCTAAACCTATCAAACAGATACAACATGTGACCTTCATTCAAAATAAAATCAGCACTCTAGAAAATAAAAAGTGTCATATATGTAGAAATTACTATTAATATTCTAATAAGGAAGTCTAGTCAGATTTTATTCATTCGTTCGTTTATTCGGTTAAAGAAAAAATAAAGAATAATAGCAATTGAAAATTCAGCACTGAGTGAATAAGTTTGATAGTCAAACAGGGAACTTGATCCAGAATAGAGTCTAGGTAGACTCTCAGTGATAAGGGTCAAGGAAGGGAAAATGGAGTAAGTCTTTTAAAGCCAAAGACTCTGTTCCATTTTAAGGAATCAATGTCTGAGTGGGCTGACTAGCTGGCGAGATCTAGACTTGCTGGCTTTGAAAGCACTGGGCTGGCTGCTTGGAGGACGTCTGCTCTCTGAGTGGCTCATAATTATGGAGTCCAGGTGTCTCTGTTGGGGATGTGAGGTCCCTGACTCAAGGCTATGGCATGCAGCTGCCTCATGTCTGAGTCAGTAGTATGTCGCTCAGCCGGGTCTGCACTAGTGTTAGCAAGTTAGTGGCCAGGACAGAGTTTACCAATTCATTCAACAAGTTAAATACCTAGACTCTTTACCTGCCCCATCCTCCTTAGACCAAGCTAGGCCACCTGTCATGTGCTCCCATAACACTCTGTATTTACTTTATATAAGTTTGGTCATCACATTCTCATGCTGTTTAATTGGCTATTTTTCCCACTCTATTATAAGGAGCAGCAAGGCAAGGGCTATATCTATCTTGATCACACTGTAACCCTAATACCCAGTATAGTGCTGGACCCAAGGTACATATGCAGTGAATATTTTATTTTTTTGTTCCCCCTCCCCATACACAGTGATTTTTTTTTTTTTTTTGAGAGAGAGAGAGAGAGAAAGAGAGCAGGGGAGAGGGTCAGAGAGAGGGGGAGAAAGACTCTCAAGCAGACTCCAGGCTGAGCGCCGAGCCCCATGCGGGGCTTGATCTCATGACCCTGAGATCTACGACCCGCGCCAAAACCAAGAGTCAGTCGCTTAACCGACTGCACCATCTAGGCACCCCTGCAGTGAATATTTTATTTAAAAAATTAATGAGAGTCTATACAAGACACTGCTAAGCAGGGAGATGGAGCAGACTGGAATATAATAAAACCACAATTCAAAGTCTGTAAAGAAACAATATAATAAACAGGGGTGAAGACAGTTTTTGTGAGGAGGTGAAGCTTATGCAAATTGGGAGATTTAAATTGTTAAGAAAAAGAATATAAAATTATAAATACAAAATTTTATTTAAATACAAAATTATACAAGAATATCAAATTATAAATACCTCATCTTGTAAGAGGTTCATGAAATTGAGGGGACTTGAAACTTAAGCTTTGTTTCCTTCACAGTAAATGCATCTCTGGTGATAGGTGGACCAATGTACTAAATACTGTGGAGTCTCTGAAGAGTGATCAGAGATCTCTGCTGGGGATAATCAAAGCTTTCACAGAAGAGATAAATTGTGAGCTTGACCTTACAGATAGAAGTGAGGTAAAGACATTGCAGGTGGAAAAAACATGCTAAAACACACAGGTGAGAAAGACCTAGAGCCTATCTGTGGAATAGTGAGAAGCGCTACTGGCCAGTGTAGGTTTGGGTGGGGAAAGCCTTAGGATAGTGACTTTCAAAGTGTGATCCTGGGCCAACAACATCAGCATCACTCAGCTCCAGCTCAGATTTACCCATTTAGAAACTGGAACTAGTGCACAGAAATCTATAGTTTGACAAGACCTGTTGGTGATTCTGATGCAGTTAAAGTTTGAAAACCCATGCCTTAAGAAGTTAATTGAGCATCAGATGAAGCTATCCTTACAAATTTAATTTCAGGCTATTATACAAGATGGAGAGAAATGAGAAAAAAAGGATTATGACAGAAGGGGAATGAGTTCTCTTCATCCCACACCCCAAAATAAATTCCAGATAAGCTAAAAAGTTAAAGTAAAAAATGCAACCAGATATTGGGTAGAAGAAAAGATTAATTTCACAACAATTTAAAACATTTGTACCATTAATAAAATTGAAAAGTAAACAACAAACTAGAAAGAAATATATGCGACACGTATCTCGGGTAAAAAGCTCAAAATTTTAACTTTCCTTTAAAAAGATAAAGAGCCCGTAGAAAAGTGGATAAAAGACATAAACTGAAAATTCTCAAGAGAAATACAAGTGGCCAGTAAACACATGAGAAAATATTCAAGTTCACAAAAAAACAAATACAAATTATGATGGAATACTATGTTTTATTTACCAAATTAACAGAGCATTTTTTAAAGATAGAAACAACTTATTCATCCACTATTTAACTGTATGGTTGGTTATTTATAGTGGAATTCCAAGGTGCCATTAATATTTATAGCATAAGGTATATTCATGCTATATTAAGTGGGGGGAAAAAGCTGCTACAGAATAACATAACACTAGCCAAACTTTTAAAACCAATTTTAAATGGATACAGATTAAAAAAAAAAATAATGTACAGCCCTTGAGCAAAATGTTACCATCGGTTAGCTCTGGGTTGTAGGATTATGATAACTTTTTCTTTTGCAATTCATACTTTGCTATTGTCTCCATTGTGTGATAAAGATGTATCCCTTTTCTAATCAGGAAAAAATTGAGCTATACTACAAGTGTGATAAAAAGTTGGAGAAAATGATGAAGACTAATACCCCTTCGGTCAAAATTGTATTAGAAGACAGCAAACTCTACAACTCGGTACTCTTTTGAGATTTGAGGGTTTCATCCCCGGAGCCATTATCCTCCGTTAATAGGAAGGAAAGGAAAAGGGGGACGCAAAAATGAAACTGGAAAACTTACTCCAGCTAATCAAAGAACGTCAAGTAGCCTCTGATTTGTGATTACGCTAAAGGACATGTCAACATTGTGATGCTCTTTGTAATTATTTCTCTGGGTAAGGGAAAATAGTGTGGGTTTGTTTAAGTAATGGGCTGGGCTGGCGGGGGCGGGGGGGGTTGCTCTCACTACCGAATGTTTTGAAATAAAACTTTAGCCTAGAATGTAAAGATTTTGTTTGGCACAAGGCTACGCATGAGCATAACAGTAACTTAAAATGGTCCCATACCACCCCCTTGTGGCTTCCACTGTGTCACATCGGGAGACAGCCTAACCAGCCGAGAGGACGGAACCATGCATACGTTTGCATAAATTCAACAAACACGTGTCCATTCTCTATTCGCTAGCAGGTGCTAACTATACTAGGATTAAAATATACCACTAAATCTCTTCGTACTTTATTCAGGCCATGCCAGCATTCGTAAACATTCACTTATTTGGGCCGAGTACACACACAGAAGTTGAGGTCATAAAAACTGAGCATCGCAAACCGGTGTCTCTTTAAAATACGGCTTTATCTTCTGGGATAAAGGTGAAGGAATGGGAGTAAGATCTGCGATTATTACTCTTCAGCGTTTGGTTGGTTGGGTAGCATGTGGTAATCAGAAAAAGCACAGTGGATGTGGATGAAAACACATGCACTGCAGCCCTAACTATCCGAGTGACCTTGAGCACGTGATAATCCACATGGGCCCCATTCATCTATTTAACAATTACTTGAACCCGGGTGCTGAGGTTACAAAAATGAGTAAGACCTGGTCTTTTAGACCCTCGCTTTTCTAATTTGTAAATTGGGACTGACAACTTCAATTTACTATAAAACATTAAGCATATACTACCCTTGTACAGAGATGTTCATTTTTGAAACCGTGTTCACAGATTTATTTACGCTCGTTCAATTTAATCCTCTCCACATCTGCTCATAGGAGCTCTAAATCCTTACAGGAATTAAATAATCTAATCCAATACCCTATACTTTTACATTCAGTCCACCGGGATTTCTTGAATCAAGGAATCCGGCTGAAGCTTAATAACGACTCGCGATCTTCAAGATTCTCACCCTCCTGCCCTGTGAACAGCATCGCAGCCCTGCGTAGTTCTTTGGTGGGGCCTCGGTAAAACCTTAACACGGCCGTCGCCCTTTACGTCCCCAGCAAGCAGCGGCCACTCTGGGGGTTGAAATGCCATTTGCCATGCCTAACTCGTGCAAGACGACTCTCGCACGCCCCCTGGAGGAGCCGGGTGGGAAAGGGGCCGCTAGCTTGCGGCGCTTCTCCCACTTCTCTGAAGGCGAGAGGAAGGGCCGGGAGCCCGCAGGGGCGGGGGAGGGGGGAAGTTCCCTCGGCGGCCATGCGGGGAGCAATTCTAGGGAGTGGAATCACCCGCTCGGCTCTGGAGAGGCCGTACCCAGGCCGGAAGAAGCCTGCGGCGGCACAGAAGTACCAGCAGGAGGCGCGGGCCGCCGGGCCACCCCCGGGGCCAAAGAGCGGTGGTCCCTCCCAGGTCCGGTGTGCGGCGTGGCCGCGCCGCTGGATCCCCTGTCGCCCCCCATCCCCCCCGCACTCTCACCTCGTCACCTCCCCGCCCAGTCGGCGGGTCCCCGAGGTGCGCGGCGCAGGCGCGGAGCGAGGCGGTGAGTGCGGCCGCCGAGCCTGGGCCTGGGGCCTGGCGGGCAGGGCGTGAGGCGCGCGGGAGGGAGCAGGGCCGGCCCGGGGGCAGCGCCCGGGAGCGCGAGGGCCACAGCGGCGCCGCCCGCCGGCAGGGCCGCGCGGCCGCTCCGCCGGCACTCGGGCGCCTCGGCCGCCGCCGCCTCGGAGCTGTGCCTGGGCTGGCCGGGCGGGCCCCGGGGTCTTGGTGAGCGTGAGCGAGGAGCGGGCCCGTGGCGTGCGGACGCAGCCTCCCACGGGAGAGGGCAGGGAAGACCCGACGGCGCCTTTTAAAATGAAACCCTGCCTCCGCTCTCTGGCGGGGTAGCGGCCCCTCCCCCATCCCGGAGGCAGGGCCACCCCTCCGCGGAGGACGTCTCGGCCCCCTGCGGCTGTTTTCCTTATGGCGCCTTTGGGGTCGGAGTTTGGGCGTCCCCGCAGGTCGCCTGGCCCTCCTGGGCCCGGCGCGCGGCGCGGGCGTGGAGGCTGCTGGGTGCGGGGGGCTCCTGCGCGGCCCCTCTGACCGGCGTGTCCGCTGGCGGCTGGGCTCTCGACGTCCGTCGGTGCCGGGCTGGCCCCGGCGCTGCGGAGCGGCTTGGGAACCCCGCGGCAGCGCATCCCTCGTTCGCCCGCGAGCCACCGCCGCAGAAAGCAGGCGTGCGTCCTGGCGCTCTCGTCCCCGGCCAGTGGCCTGGGCCCGTCCTTCGGGGCTCATACACGCCTTTGGGTTTTCTCTTTTAGTACAACCTAGGGACGCGAGTCATGCGGGGCAGTTTATCTCTTTGCAGAGAGGTAAAAATTTGTACTTGAGCAAAGACTGACACTCAGGTTGGACGTACCGTGGGTTCTAGTTCAAAAACTCTCCTGAAACATTTTTTTTCTGTTTCAATTCTTTTGAAGTCTGGAGAGTATATACTTATTTGAAAGGAGTGTGAAAAAGAACTCGCTTTTAAAACCTCATTGCAAAAAGGGAGCTTTTGATTATACTTGCCTTATTTGTATACCAGTTAGAGAATATTTATATTACATGAAAGGCCTTAGATGTTGATCTATTTGATATAGGTACTGATTGCCTGTTATATGGCATTTTGTACAGACATTCTTGTTGAAAAAAATGACAGGTGGAAGGATGCTGGTATGTATTTTGTAAGTTGCTTTTTTGAAAAATTTTAATCTTTCATGTGGCATGATGTCATTTTTGTAAGTGTAAAATATACATGTATACCTTAGCATAGGAAAATGTCTAGATGTCTATATACCAAAATGTTAACAGCGGTTTTTCTGGGTGAATAGATTAAAGGTGATTTAATTAATTTAAATTAATTTCTAACCTTTTTTCTAATTTCCCTGCAGTGACATGTATTACGTTGGTAGTTTGTTAAGTGGGGAAGAGGGAGTGAATGATAAGGTGCATGTGATTCAGAATTGTCCCCATGAGAGGAAGACTAGTGAGCAATGTTCATATGACCTCTTTGAGTAAAAAGCCAAACTTCATCAGGGCAGTTATGTATACAAAAAGCACATAAGAATATTTGCTGAAATGAAGGATGGTTAGCATTTCTGGTCTTTTTTTGTTTGTTTGTTTTGTTTGTTTGTTTTAGATTTTATTTATTTATTTGACAGAGAGAGACACAGCGAGAGAGGGAACACAAGCAGGGGGAGTGGGAGAGGGAGAAGCAGGCTTCCCGCGGAGCAGGGAGCCCTATATGGGGCTCAATCCCAGGACCCTGGGACCATGACCTGAGCCGAAGGCAGACGCCTAACGACTGAGCCACCCAGGCGCCCCAGCATTTCTGGTCTTGAGTAGGATCTTAGCATCATGCTGAAAGGGTGTCTGATAAATGTTTGGATATTGTTCAGCTCTAAGTAGGAGTCAGACCTTTCCTGATCAAGGTGATCCTATTCCTCTCACCTGACAGTCTGAATCCAGGCCAGCTTGCAATGTTAATTTTAATGCCATGTGTGGTTTCCTTTCCTTACTTTTTGATTCTTGAAGTTGGAAAGAATTTAAAGTATATTCTGAAATAGCAAGAGGCTACTTTAATGTTTGGCTGATAGTTTCCATTGTTCTCCCTGATAGTTTTAGAACATTTAAAACATGAAGTGTAGTACTCTGGGCTGTATAAATTCTGGAAGTGTACAGAAGAGGTATTAGGAACAAGTCTTGAGATTTTAGTTTATTACATAATAAGAAATTTTTGATTTTTGAGTGCACTTGATTGGGAAGGGTTCAAGGAATGCTATTTGTGTTAGATAAGGCATTATATATAGAGGTACTGTTTCTGTAAATCTCATTGCTGTTGGTTTCTTTGAGTGATTCCCTTCCCTTCCTCCCATTTGGTGACTAAGAACTGGAAAATGTAACTTGCTGGTAATAGTGAATAGCAATGAAAATTACTTACAGAGTTAGTTGTTCAAAACTCAAGAGTCAGAAGACATGATTTTTCAGCTCTGGTTCTGCCACTTAGTTGAGTTGACTTTCACTGAATGCTTCCTCATCAGTAAAATTGGAGTGAGTTTGGTGGTATCCCCTCTATGTATGTCACGGGATTGTTGTGAAATAAAATAAGAGGAAAATGCTCAATAAACTAAACACTGTCTTATTACTGGATGATCACATCACCTGCAGTGCTAATTTATATGTCCAGAACTTAGTGAAGCAGCAAAGGCAGTGTGTGCACCTTAGGTGCCTTACCATTAGAAACAAGATGATCTCAGTAATGATACCAAGTTCTACCTGGTATGTGTATCACTTTGACAAAAAAAGAAAAGTAGCATAGAAAGCTGGTGGAGAAAATGTCCGTTTCTTTTTCTGACTTGCCCACTTCTGCAATGAAAGAACACTAACCTGAAATGGAAGAGGTGATTCTGATTCTGACACTAATCTGTTACTTCAATTCGGGTGATCACTTTATCTCCCTATTTGTTTCCAAAGCATGTGCTTTAAAATTAGATCTTTATTCACATTCCAACTCTACCACTTATTAAGAATTGCCTTGACTTGGGCGCCTGGGTGGCTCAGTTGGTTAAGCGACTGCCTTCGGCTCAGGTCATGATCCTGGAGTCCCGGGATTGAGTCCCGCATCGGGCTCCCTGCTCGGCGGGGAGTCTGCTTCTCCCTCTGACCCTCCTCCCTCTCATGCTCTCTGTCTCTCATTCTCTCTGTCTCAAATAAATAAAGAAAATCTTTAAAAAAAAAAAAAAAAAGAATTGCCTTGACTTAATTTTACTATGCCTCAGTTTCCTCATGAATAACAAGGGGTAAATAATCAATTTTGAGAGAGTGTTGTATATTTTTCATCTTGTAGGATTAAATAAGATAAAGCATGTGTACAGCCTGGCACATGATTGGTGTTCAATAAATGGTCACTGTCCTTATATTGTTAAATTATCTATAAGGACTTAAACAGTTTGAAGTCTGATTTGGTTTGCTTTCATTGTATTTGTTTTCATTATGGCAGAATAAGCAGATTTATATTCCTATTTTGGTGTTAAAATATACCTATAGCTTTAGAAGGTAAATTCATTTCCAAGAAATGACACATGCATATAGGTATTTATATATGTATATATGTATACATGTATGTATTTATATGTGTGTATTATATGTATATTATGTATATATACATATATACATGTGTATATACATATAAATATACATATATGCATAAAATATAAATTTATACACATAACATATACATATAAATATGTATTATTAAACATATGTGTTATTAAACATATAGTATATGTATACACATATAAAGAAATGACATATGTATATTTATATGTATACATATTTATCAGTTTTTAGTGTTTAAAACAGTATATTCAAAAGATTATTTATACTTGAATTAATTCCATATAACTTTGCAGTTAATTAAAGACCTGGTGCCATTGTATTCTTGAGTCTCAGAAGTGAACTACATTTTTGCTTATATGACTTCTGTTGTGTTTTTCCTACAGGCATTTTTTACCATCTGTGAAAACTTCCCTGTAATTCATTTCTCCTCACTGCAGTATTAAGAATTATACCAAGTAAGTGGAATGTTGTAAAACCAATTAGTCAATTTTATAACAGTCGATGGGAATTTAATCATTTAATGATTAAACAAAAGTTGCTACCTGTTCCAAATAGAATGTTGAATGTGATCTTGTAAGTAAGAAAAGGATTTTTTCTTGAAAATTATATTCTGAGCTTCTATGTGATGAGTATATTTTCTGGAAGTCAGGGGATCAATATAGACTTGTGTAAATATTTTTTTAAGGGAATATATCCACCTTTAGCTTGAAAACTGTATCAAAATATTGCCAGTTGTAAGAAATGTACCTGTCGGGCTCCTGGGTGGCTCAGATGGTTGGGCTCTGCCTTCGGCTCGGGTCATGATCCCAGGGTCCTGGATCGAGTCCCGCATCGGGCTCCCTGCTAGGTGGGGAGCCTGCTTCTCCCTCTGCCTCTGCCTCTCTCTCTCTCTCTGACTCTCATGAATAAATAAATAAAACATTAAAAAAAAAAAAGAAAGAAATGTACCTGTCTTAGGGTGCCTGGGTGCCTCAGTCAGTTAAGCGGCTGCCTTCCACTCAGGTCATGATCCCAGGGTCCTGGGATCAAGTCCCGCATCGGGCTCCATGCTCAGCAGGGAGCCTGCTTCTCCCTCTCCCTCTGCCTGTGTGTCTGCCTACTTGTGCTCTCTCTCTCCCTGTCAAATAAATAAATACAATCTTTAAAAAAGGAAAAGAAATGTACCTGTCTTATTCTTAATACGGTACCGTAACAATTTTTTTAATAAAAAGTAATTTAAGAGTATGATTTATTGTAATTATACAGTTTTCAAAATTACATCAACATGTGAAATGGACTTCTCAACATCACCAAGAAAAAAAAAAACAGGTATTGGTGTCCTGCCTTTAAATTTGATCAGAAAAATAAATCCAAATATAAATGGAAGCATTGGGTTTTTTGGGGGGGGGGGGGTGTTTGGGTTTTTTTAAGATTTTTTTTTATTTATTCATTTGAGACAGAGAGCTACAGAAAGAGAGAGAGCATGAGCAGGGGGAGGTGCAGAGGGAGAGGGAGAAGCAGGCTCTCTGCTGAGCAGGGAGCTGGATGCGGGACTCGATCCAAGGACCCTGGGATAATGACCTGAGCTGAAGGCAGCCGCTTAACTGACTGAGCCACCCAGGCGCCCCAAATGGAAGCATTGTTTAACACTTCTCTTACAAAGTAGATTTTCAAGTGGTGCATACATTTCTTATTACCAGTAAGTTCTTTGGTTAGAAGGAATTTTTATAAAATATTAACAATCTTTATTTGTGATATTTTTATTAAATTTTTCCATTTTTAGATTGAAAAGATATGAATGAATATCCTAAAAAAAGAAAAAGGAAGACATTACACCCTTCTCGTTACTCAGGTCAGTGGATTATTTTAAAGTTGGGCCGTGGATTAAGTCCCATGCAATTGTATTCTTATCCATTTTCTCATAAATTATCAGATAACAGTTAAATATGTGGGTCAATTTTTAAGTAAGAGAAAACTTTAAGTTCTCTTTAAGTTTGCAACCATCAAAACTGCCAATTTCCTCTGAATATATATTCCTCATTGTCTACCATGTGCTAGGCACACATCAGAAGTTTACGGACATTATTTAATACTTACAACTTAAAGGTTGAAAGATATTTAAAATTAGATATCCAGGGTTGCATGCTTATACGGCATAACTGAGATTTGCTTGTGTGATTCCCAAGCTTGTCCTTAAGGCACAACATTAACCTTGCTGGAAGATATTTGGATCATTGGGAAAAAATTTTTTATCCTATACATTATTTTCAGAAATGTGAACTTTATTTTGATTGTGTTATTTTAGGTCCTTTGGTTGAGGTTGGCTCTGCTATCCTGGCAATAAGAGAGGTCTTAAGAAGACTCATATGGAATTTAAGAAACAAAACAGAGGAGCATAGGGGACAGGAGGGAAAAATAAAACAAGATGAAATCAGAGGAAGACAAACCATAAGAGACTCTTAATCATAGGAAACAAACAGGGTTGCTGGAGGGGAGGGAGGGTGGGGAATGGGGTAACTGGGTGATGGACATTAAGGAGGGCACATGATATAATGAGCACTGGGTGTTATATAAGACTGATGAATCCCTGAATTCTACCTCTGAAACTAATAATATATTATTTGTTAATTAATTGAATTTAAGTTAAAAAAATAATAAAGTATATATTGGTGCAAAAAAAAAGAGAGGTCCCTCTGTGGCCACCTGTAACTAATCTCACATATCTATATTTGAGACAGTCTCTGGCATACCTGCTAGCCCACCCAAGCTACACATTCTTCATATCTGAGGAAATTAAGCCTGATTTACTGCCCCCATCCCCTCCAAGACAAGACTTGAAATGACTATTCAGAAGCCCTAATTTGTTCTTAGACCATTTCCCCTATGCCTTGTGCTTTCTCTTCACTACATGTCAGATCTTCTTGGTAGTCAATTCATTGTTTTTTGTAGTTAATACATTTATCACATATTTATAATTTGTGCAATTCTGACAGTAAGGCAGATCTATCTTTGTGCACTTCAAGTGTTGTATTGTAAATCATGTAATTTGTGGTTCTTTCATGAAGTTCAATGTCAGTATCTTTTCAGAATTGAAATATTAATATTTTTTACAAATATTATATATGTTGGATAAAGGGATGGCTGTTATTAAATGTATGTATGTTTACTTGAAATTTTTAAAATTTTGCTCTTATGTTCAGATTCTTCTGGAATAAGCAGAATTGCAGATGGATTCAATGGAATTTTTTCTGATCATTGTTATAGTGTTTGTTCTATGAGACAACCAGACTTAAAATATTTTGACAACAAAGGTATGTATCGTATTTTCCAAAATATCCTTTAAGTTGCTTTTGATGTATTTTTATTTCTTACTTGAAAATGTGAGTGAAAATTATGACTTCTAAATGGGCAAGTATTGTTTGTTTAAATGTAAGGAAATAAGGCTTTTTGTAAGAAAGCAAGTATGAATTTTTAATTTTTAACATTATTTCAGACCTATAAATAAAAAGCACACTCTCCTAAGTCCATTTTAGGTGGCAAGGAATTGGTAGAAAATCAGGACTGACCTAGAGTTAGGAGCATTTATGATGAAAGGTTAGGATAGTGTTAAACACAGTTCTTCCACTCAGCTGTAGTCTAGAGGGCTAATGGAAGGAGGGAACAGAGGGTGAAGGATTTGGTGTTTTTCAGTCTTGCATCTTTTATTGAGTCTTTTCGAGAGAATTGGGTATATGATAAAAATTTGCATTTGCTCTCTTCTTTCTTTGCAACCATCAAAACTGCCAATTTCCTTGAGCTCCTATCAGAGGCACAGAAACATAATTTTTTAAAAAGCATAAGGAGTTGGAGGCATTTTTATGAACTCATGTTTGGCTTAATAGAGACACAGATGGTTACATACAGAGATATTTATAGATACGTCTGTGTATATGTAGCAGTGTACAAACGTTTTTACTCTGTTAGCTGAGAGGGCCTAAAAGAAATGACGCCCCAGTAGAAGTGAGCCCAGATTTTGGTTTCTAAAACCATTCTCCAACAAAAAGAACTAGCACTTGGAGAAATGGCTGATTCTAGTTCTGAGGCGGGGAAATACATAAGATGAGCCTGGAGCATTTTGTAGTGCCAGAAAATAAGAACTCAACACACGCACAAAATACAGGTACTTCAAAGGAACACAGGAGCCAACTAAAAAAGCTCCCAGTAGCCAAAGCTGAAACAATTTGAGGAAAAAAAAAGAATTATAACCCAAAATATAAAATATTCCTGAGTCCATACTGATGTGATTGAATGAATAAATAAATTAGGAAGAAACTGTATAGAAGAATTCCATATTATTTATGTGGAGGCTCCTCCCTCAAGGAAGTGGAACATAACTTTCCACTCCTTAAATGAGGACTGCATACAGGGAGTTTGTTCCAAAGCATAGAGTATGGAAAGTAAAAGCGTGACTTTACAGCAGAGAAACCTGATCAATACTACTTCACCCAGGTGATCACAGTCAACATCTACAGTAATAAATCATGTTAGTACTATGTACACTTGATGTGATGTGATTAAAAATGGCAGCTTGCCTCTCTAGTCTACCTCTAATAACTCATAATCCCAGTCTAATCATGGGGTATCCTACAAAATACCTGACGTCTACTCCTCAAAACTGTCATGGTCATCAAAAACAAAGTCTGAGAAACTGCCACAGCTAACAGTATCCTAGAGAAAGGTGACATCTAAATGTAATGTGGAATCTTAGGATCTTGAAACAGAAAAAGGACATTAGGTAAAAACTAAGGAAATCTGCTTAAGTATGGACTTTAGTTAATACCATCTTACCGGTATTGGTTATTAATTGGAACAAATGTATCATATTAAGAGCATGGAGATACTGAAATGTAATGTAAGAGAATGGAGAAACTGAGAATTCAGGATATAGGAATTCTTTGTACTATCTTCTCAGATTTTTTCTGAGAACTTCTAAAAAATAAAGTCTTAAACAACAGTGACATGATGTTGAAGCCCAGTTTTTTCTGCTGACCTGTATTTTAGTTTCCCCATGCTAACTTTAAAACACTGGGTCTGGGCTGAGGGAATAAAGCTTTTTCAGACTTTCATTAAACTGAAAATTCCTAAGTAACTTTAAAAAGTATATTCTAGTCCAAATGGGGCACAGACGCAAAAGCAGTTGCTTGTTTGGACAGGTTTTTTTGTGTGTCTGTTGGATAACATCTCTTTTCCTGGCTAAATCTGAGTCCTTTAGTTCCTGTTGGAATTCAAAATTATATTTAAAGTGTTTAGTGCTTTGTTTAGTAATAATTAATATTTAATGCTTTGATATAAATAATAAGTATTTTTCCAAATCTCTTTTTACAGATGATGATTCTGATACAGAGACATCAAATGACTTGCCAAAATTTACAGATGGAATCAAGGCCAGAAATAGAAATCAGAACTACCTGGTTCCCAGTCCTGTACTTAGAATTCTAGACCACACTGCCTTTTCTACAGGTTAGGGAAGCCAGTTGATAGCATTTATTTATTTTATATAGATTAATGAAAAAATAAGGGATAAAATAAATTTTTTGCCAATTTATTCAGTAGGTCTTATTTAGTGATAATAGACGTGTTATATTTTTCAGAAAAATCTGCTGATATTGAAATTTGTGATGAAGAGTGTGACTCACCTGAGTCAGTCAACCAACAAACTCAAGAGGAGAGTCCTATAGAAGTTCACACTGCTGAAGATGTTCCAATTGCTGCAGAAGTGCATGCAATTTCTGAAGATTATGATATAGAGACAGAAAACAATTCCTCGGAAAGTCTCCAAGACCAAACTGATGAGGAGCCACCAGCTAAACTTTGCAAAATTCTTGACAAGAGCCAAGCTTTGAATGTGACTGCCCAACAGAAGTGGCCTTTACTGAGAGCCAATAGCAGTGGCCTCTATAAGTGTGAACTTTGTGAGTTCAACAGCAAATATTTTTCTGATTTAAAGCAGCATATGATCCTGAAGCATAAGCGTACTGATTCAAATGTGTGTCGAGTATGCAAGGAAAGTTTCTCTACCAACATGCTTTTGATTGAACATGCCAAACTGCATGAAGAGGATCCCTACATTTGTAAATACTGTGATTATAAAACAGTGATTTTTGAGAACCTCAGTCAGCACATTGCAGACACCCATTTTAGTGACCACCTCTATTGGTGTGAGCAGTGCGATGTACAGTTCTCCTCAAGCAGTGAACTCTACCTACATTTCCAGGAGCACAGCTGTGATGAACAGTACTTGTGTCAGTTTTGTGAACATGAAACAAATGATCCAGAAGACTTGCATAGCCATGTGGTAAATGAACATGCATGTAAATTGATTGAGTTAAGTGATAAGTATAACAATGGAGAACATGGACAGTACAGCCTCTTAAGCAAAATTACCTTTGACAAATGTAAAAACTTCTTTGTATGTCAAGTATGTGGTTTTCGGAGTAGACTTCATACAAATGTTAATAGGCATGTTGCTATTGAACATACTAAAATTTTTCCTCATGTTTGTGATGACTGTGGGAAAGGCTTTTCAAGTATGCTAGAATATTGCAAACATTTAAATTCACATTTATCTGAAGGGATCTATTTATGTCAATACTGTGAATATTCAACCGGACAAATTGAAGATCTTAAAATTCATCTAGATTTCAAGCATTCAGCTGACTTACCTCATAAATGTAGTGACTGCTTGATGAGGTTTGGAAATGAGAGGGAATTAATAAGTCACCTTCCAGTCCATGAGACAACTTGATGATTTTCTTTAACTGCCGTAATGTTAATGTAAAATAATAAATTTGACTTTTTTGGAGATGTGAAAATGGATGATTTTAAACATAACTTATGAGAATTGCTTTTAACAAGTAAGATTTTTTTAATTGTCCAATTTTCTTGGCATTGCTACATTTTTCAGTATATAATGGTATCCTAAATGTGGTATTTTCAGTGCATGGTAGTTTTAACCACTCTTGCTATCTGTCGTCTTGTTTCTTACATAAGCTCTGATTTCATGAATTGATGAGAAACAGATGTACTAAAGAAACTAGACTACAGTTTTCCTTCTGTAACCATGGGTGCTATTAAATTTTTTAAACTCAAGATGAACTCAGTTTTTCATGTATGAAGTCATTAAAGAACTGCATTATCAGAACTTAAATGCAATGTACCATACAATTAAGTCCACTGATAGTCCCATTAAGAACCCAAACCTAGATAATCCCCATCAGGAATTATCCCCAAGACTCGGTGGACGCTCCATCTGTGTAATTCTTTTAACAACACTAGGAGGCAAGTGTTACAGTAGGAAGGGAAGATCTAGTTTTGTTGGCGGTCTTTTTTTTTCTTTTTTTTTTAATTCTCATTCAATTTTAGCCCCAATCTGTGAGTTAAATGATTTAAGATGGGAGTGAGGAAGAACTGGTAAGGGATTAGACAATAAAACCAGTTGTAACATTTCATAGCTCAACCTTTTCACAATTCATTTTCAGTTATGTGACAGCAAAGTAAGCCCAAGATGCTGATGTCAAATCATTTATTGACTGCGAAAACCCACTGAGGTATTAATCTAGAATTAGGAAGATGTGGAAGATAAGGGGTTCTGGCTTTCTTCTTGGCTTATAGATGGCCGTTTTCATTCACATGGTGTTCTCTTTGTATGCAAGTCTATTTCTCAAACTTCCCTTTTTTATAAGGTCACCAGTCATACCAGATTAGGGTTAACCCTGATGACCTTATTTTAACCTAGTAAAGATCCTGTCCCCAGATACGGTCATATTTTGAGGTGCTGGGGCTTAGGACTTGAACATTTGAATTGGGAGATGGGAGAAAGAGACATAACCACAATTCAATAGCAGCTTCTTAAATAGCGGTATCACAAAGATATGATTTGGTCTATCAATGAACTCCAATAAACACTGCTGCTAACAATGGCAGTGTTCAGGAATATTGCTATAGTTGAAGAGATCAATTTATGATCTGTGGTTTTCCCACTACAAGAACCGTGGAAATTTAATCTATCTTGAGAATGGTGGCAGCAACAAGTTTTTTCAAAGCCAATCATTTTTAACTCTTATTGTCAGATATGCATAATTATATTCCTAGAAATTCATCAGGGCTACCTGATAGAAATGTTTCTTTTTTTTTTTTTTTTTTTAAAGATTTTATTTATTTATTTGAGACAGAGAACATGAGAGGGAGGAGGGTCAGAGGGAGAAGCAGACTCCCCGCCGAGCAGGGAGCCCGATGCGGGACTCGATCCCGGGACTCCAGGATCATGACCTGAGCCGAAGGCAGTCGCTTAACCAACTGAGCCACCCAGGCGCCCGATAGAAATGTTTCTGAGAAAACTTAATATCAGAGTGGTTTAAACTGGACTAGAATCTTAGAAACCATCTGGTCTAAATCCTCTAGTTCTCTAAGTTTCTTACAGAAATAGGCCAAGGTCACAAAACCAGTTGTAGCAGACAGGGGTGGGATCCAAGTTATTTGGCTTCCAGTCTAATAATGTTTCCATTACACCATGTTACATTAAAATATAAGCTTTGTCCTTGGGGCGTTTTTCATGATTACTTAACCTAGCTGTTCGGCTACCTTCTTGGTAATTCTGTTTTTATGCCTTTTTTATATACATACACCTTCAAGAATTTTATTTTTAGGAAACAAACTAATGCCTTGGTAGGTTTTTTTCAATTTTGTATTTTATTGCTTTACATTTGATCACATTAGTAATCAAAGTAGTTGTAAGGAAACCTCAAGAGATATTAATTCAAGTTTTAGAACCATATAATTTTGTGCTTTTGATGAATCTGCATCTTGAGGCCACATCCCACTGACAGTTTGTCCAGTAAAAACTTTTTGCTTTGGGTGCCTGGGTGGCTCAGTTGGTTAAGCGACTGCCTTCGGCTCAGGTCATGATCCTGGAGTCCCTGGATCGAGCCCCTCATCGGGCTCCCTGCTCGGCAGGGAGTCTGCTTCTCCCTCTCCCACTCCCCGTTTGTGTTCCCTCTCTTGCTGTGTCTTTCTCTGTCAAATAAATAAATAAAATCTTTAAAAAAAACAAAAAAACTTTTTGCTTTGACCCAGCTTTCAAATAAGTCAATGACACCATAATTTGCTTGGGTAGCTGGTTTATATTTTTAGCTTATTAAAGAACTTCTTCAGAAAAACAACCCTAACTAAAAAGAGATTTTTCTAACTACTTCTGGGTTTTTCCCCCTCAAAAACAAACATTTCCACTGAACTCTTGTGATTGGAAGCACAGTTCAAGTCTGAGAATACATAACTGATAGTGATGTTTATTAGCACTACAATAGAATTCTTGGCAGCAAGAATTCTTGGCAGTATTGGGTCATTTTTTTTTCTTACTTTTTTTATCTTCACCTTGCAATGAGTTATTACTTATGGAATTCCAAATTCCCCTGTACTCCAATATTTGAAAGTGTCTGTGCACTACTCAAAAGCCTCTCCTCCTGCTTGTAAATTTGCCAGTTTTACCATTTTAAATCACCTCTCTTAGATTTCCTGAGTGTGTGTCATCACATACTAGCCAGTTTCTCCATTTCACAGGGCCCACAGCCTGTTGTTAGGTGATTGCTGAGTTGTTAGCAGGTGTAGTATATGTAGGGCTTTTGTTTTTGTTTTTTTTTAATAGACTAACACTATTCCTAATTTTTAAATCTGACTTGGAAAGCATTGTATTACTTAATTTCCGACACTTTACCATTAACCTTACTTTTGCTTGTTTTGTCAGTATTACTACCTTTTGCAAGACGTTTAATATGTTTCCCAAATGACTATGATTCATTTTTAATGGAATTTTAATGCCTAAAAAGCACTATGACTTACACAAATTTGAAAAAGCTAATAAAAATCAAATGGCCACAACCCTCTTGGGAAGCAGATTGGTTTGCCAAAAAATCAATACTCGTTAAGAATTTAAGTGAAAACAAATAGTTAGACCAAACATCCCAATGGAGAAGCCAATTTGATTGGTCAGGTTTACCCTATAATTAACACAGTCTCATTCCTATAAATTAAGATGAAATTTGGGGATATATATTAGTTTGCCTGTAACTTTCAGTTCTGATGACTGAAGATAGAATATCTACAAGAATTTTTGTTCAAGGCATTTAGGTTATGGAATTACATATACTCCTAATATTGGTTTAGCTTTCCATAAATTAATCTTTTAAGACAACATTCAAATCAAAGAGAAAGAAATGTGTACATTTGTGTTGTAAAATACATATTCACAAAGCTAAAAGTTGTCACGTAATTTACATATTTGTATGAAGTTATATGTTCAATTTGTAAGTTTAAAAACTAAAAATTTTAAGACCGTGTTGTTTGAAGCCTACTTCATACTAGCCATTGAAAATAATTTTCTGGATAAAGACTTCCTGTATTAAAGCATCAGTCATCACAACTTCCTTAAGTTCATTCTCCTTAGTAATCTTGGTGTTAAACTGGTAACTACCCAAATCCAAAATAAATCTCATTTGTGAAAAGTAATTTCTTCATTCTAAAAAGAAACAATTTTGGAGGGCAGCTGGCTCAGTCAGTAGAGCATGAGACTCTTGATCTCAGGGTTGTGAGTTCAAGCCTCATGTTGGGTGTAGAGATTACTTAAAATCCTTTAAAAAAATGAAAATAAAAAAATAAATAATTTTCTCACATTGCTACATAGGAATATTATATTATCTACTAATATTATTCCCACATTTTAAGAAGGATGATTATTTAGACAGTTTTTTAAAGGAATTTTTGTTATCAAAACCTTTAAAAGTGTGTTATTTTTGGTCTTAAAAAGGCAAGTGAATATAACCTGAATAGCCTTTTTCTTGCTAAAAATATTGAGCTAAATGACTTATGCCCTGAGAAATTTAATGAAAAGTATGTTTTGAATGAAAACTAAAAGTTTCCTAGTTTTTAACCCCACCCAGGTAGTGTCCACTACCAAAAAAACATAGTTGCCTTTCTTTTTCGAATAACCTGAGAGCAGGAATTGGAATCATACCCATCAAATGTAATTTCTGGTGGGTAATTGTTTTTCTTTATTTAATCCTCTATGTAAAGGCCATTCACCATTCTGCTCTGAATTTGAATTGACTGGAGTTTGAGACTATTTGATTCTCTTTTCCTGCCTACCCTGTTCATTTTATTTAGGGTTACCTCTTCTTTTAATGGCATTACTCATATTTCTAAAACATATTCCTCAAATAAAATCTGTGGTTGATTACCTTCATCTTTGCAACTCTTCTGTACCTCTTTTGAGTCCCCAGAAAGTTTCATAAGATTAAAGTTTTCCCAATTAGGGTGAGAGTAAATTTGTTTTCTTTAATTCTTCTATACTCCAAACTGTTAAAATAACTTACTTCCCTCACTCCATATACCACATCACTGGTTTCTGTACCCTATAAATATTTTATATGTTCCTGTCTAACAGCAGTTGGCCGCGCTGAATTTATAAATTCCGGTGTATCTATCTTGGATTTTAAGAAGCAGATTATCATGGCACAGATCTTAATAAATACTTCTTTACGGCCACAAGATTATGGTTATGTTCCTTATGGCACTGATCAGTGTTCTTTACTGAATAATTAAAATACTGAGGTATAGGAACTAACCTGGAATGACGAAATGTTTGTCTGGGAGGGACCTCAGAAGTCATCTAATCCAGACTCATAAAGTGTACAACATATAAAAATAATTGTATGTGGTACAAGTTTTATTTTCATGGTTATAAATTATATGTTAATCACATCAAATCTGATTCATGGATATTTTTACTTAGGACAAAACTCATTTTTTTAAGAAAAAAGATTGATTTGAAGAAAAATATGAAGTAAATAATACATAGACATGGAAAAAGCTGGGTAGGTGATACATGAAAGACTAAAATTTGAGAATACAAAATTCTGATCTAAGCTTGTTTATAGCTTAGAAAAATGGTTATCTAATATCATTAGTTAAATGCTTTTTTTTTAAGATTTTATTTATTTTAGAGAGAGAGGGAGCGTGTGAGGCAGGAGGAGGAGCAGAGGCAGAGAAGAGGGAGATAATCTCCAGAAGACTCCATGTTGAGTGCAGAGCCTGAGGCAGGGCTC